CCTCACGCTCCCCTCCCCGCAGCGTCTGGACTCCCGGCTCCCGGCTGATTTATTTTTCTGCCAATTTCCCCGAGCTATGCAGAACCAATTACCGCCGGAGCGCAGCGGCTCCGCCGCCGCCGCAGCCACCGCTCCGCAGGCCCCCACCGCACTACATTTTTCCTGTTATTTTTTTTAATTGAATTTTTAGGGTGGGGGTGCGCTCCGCAGCCTCCATCTCGGGGAAACGTAAGTCCCGGGGCCTGTCTCAGGTCACGTACTGCACACCCCGTGGTAATATAATATTTACTGCCCCAAGGGCGCGCGGGGCTGCCCCGGGCACACGGCAGGCAGCCGAGGGGCAGGCGCTCTTGCGCGGGCCCAGGGACCTGCCAGGCCAGCCCCGGGACAGGGACCAGGCCCCGGCCCCAAGAGTGGGGGCAGGCGGGGTCTGCAGTGGGGCTTGGAGAGCTAGTGGAGCCAGCGGTGATTTATGCTCCGCGCCTGGGCTGGGAGCTGGGCGGGTCTGCCGTGTGCACCGCCAAAGGGAGATTTTCAGAGAGGCCAGGAAGCCCCGCCGAGGCTCCCCCAGAACAGCCACCAACAAGATGCCTGGCCCGTTCCCGCCAGGGCCGGGCCTGCCTGGGACAGGGGGGAGGAAAAGACGGGGAGACAGAGACATGAGGCAGGGGTCCTTTGGTAGCTGCCCATCCCCAAACGCAGGGCTGGCAGGCGCCAGCTGACCCAGAATTCACAGGCTGGACCAGGGTTGGCTGGGTCCCAGCACCCACTTTCTCTGCCAGCTGTCCCTGAGGAGAACAGACTGAACTGTCTGTCCGGTGGGTCCGGAGAGGCAGAGGTGTCCAGCCCTGCCCTGGGGAGCCACAGAGAGGAATCAAAACAAAAACCAAGGCATAGCGACCCTGCAGGGGCAGACCAGCACTGTAACCTTTAAGGGAGCAAGGCCCAGAGGAGGGCTGAGGTAGGGCTGAGGAGATCTGGCCAAGTGTCCAGCTGGATGGAGCCACCCACAGGCAAAGCCGGATGAGGAGGGTGATCAGGGCAGCTATGGGGCCAGGGGTAGGTGGACAGAGCAGGCCTGGGAGGCTGAGCCCCAGCCAAAAGCCGGGCCTGACCCTGAGACAGTAGGAGCTGCTTTGAGGCGGAGGGGGCAGCAGGCCAGGCCACGGGGGTCTTAAGAAAATGGCAAGAAAGGCATCAGGGGCTGGGGCCTAGGGGGTGGGATGGGGAAGTGAGAGGCCAAGGGAGGGGCAGACCCAGCAGGGCTAGGGAGGATCAAGGAGGGGGCCAGAGGGTGGCCAGAGCCAGCCTCAGTCTCCAGCATGGTCTTTAGGGGTGATGGATTCCAGAGAAAGCACAATGGGAGGGGGCGAGGGTAGCCCCATCCTCATCATGGGGACACAGCAGGGCACCCCACCCCACCCCTCCCGTCCCCTGGCCACTGTGGTGAGTGCCGGTCTGGGGTGGAGGGGGACCCCAGCATGAGCAAGAGAAGGCCCCAAGCAGCGATGTTGATCGGGGTGTGAGCACAGGCTGGCTGGACGAAGCGGTGAAGGTTTGGGGTGAGGTGGGGGGGCCCCTGGGCATAGGCTCCATGGCTGGCTCAGGGCTGCCCCGGAGTGCTGGATCTCCTCCACATCTGAGTGGGAAGTGGAGGAGACCCTGATCCACCTGCTGAATGCCCAAGGCTGCTGCTGGTCTTAGATCGGTGGTCCCCAACCTTCCGCAGGCCGCGACCCTTTACTACAGTTCCTCGTGTGGTGGTGACCGCCCCCCACCAACCATAACATTATTTTTGTTGCTACTCCGTCACTGTCACTTTGCTACTGTTATGAATTAGGCGACCCCTGTGAAAGGGTCATTTGCCCCCCCCTAGGGGTCCCGACCCACAGGTTGAGAACCGCTATCTTAGATGCTGCCTGATGCCTGGTACCTGGCCCCTCAGGTGTCGCACATGCATTCCCTAAGAGGACAGGAGCCCAGCCCCCACACACACACACTCCTCAAGTCCCTCACCTGAGACCAGTGCCCCCAGGAGAACCTGCCCCGCCCCGGAAGAGGGACTCCGGGGGTCAATCTTTGACAGAAGAATTTTACCAGGAGGATCGAGAGGGGCCTCCCAGAACATGGGCCCCACCAGCCTGTAAAACTGCCGGGCCCTCCGGCCTGCCCAGCTCCCACAGCTCAGGAGACCTGAGCGGTGTTTCAGCAGCACGCAGCATCTTTGAGGCCCCTGCAGGACAGGTGGGCAGACGGAGGAGGGGGAGGCAGCACCATGCCTGGTGAGCTCACTCAAGGGCTGCGGGCCCTCCCTGTGGCCCCCATGCCCACTCGTGTGTGTCCCCGGACCCCACTGTCCTCAGACCTGCAGAACCACAGCACTTGGCACTCCGCATCGCCAGGCCTGGACTCCTCCTTTCCCCACCCACCCACCCAGCCTATGCCTCCACCTGGGGTCCCTCAGAGGATGGTGGGCCCAGCATTAATCAGCTGCCTTGGCCAAAGTCCGGGTAGCACTCTGGACCTGCCTGTGGCCTGGGCCCACGTCTCCACCACCAAGTGCTGTCCATTATAGAGAAATCCAGGAAGGGGTGCTGTGTGAATCTGGGCATGTCCATGAACCTCTCTGTGCCTCTGGGGCCCCCACTGTCTAGCAGGGGCCCTTCTTGTTCTGGGGAGAAAGATGGGGTTTTCTACTCCCAGAGAGAGTTACAGCCTTGGGAGCCCACAAGAGCAGTCCTACTGGGCCCTGTAGGGCCCTTGTGAGTTGGCATGGAGTTGACAGCAGTGGGTTCTAGCTCTCCCCTGCTGAGAGTCACAAGAACAGCAATCACATCCGTGGATACACCTAAAGCCTTAGAGAGTGCTGACAGAGAGCTGCCCAACCCCAATCCTCCCTGCAGAACCCATGCTGCCTCTGCTGCCCTCGGTCCCCCACCCTCCCACAGACCCCGTCCCAACTGGCCCATCTCCCAGCATGCCCCACCTCCACCAGCACCCCACACCTACCCCCTACCCTCCCTCCCCCCCGTCATTCATACCGAGGTCCCATCTCCCTCAGAGGACTCAGCGCAGCCCTGACACCTGCCCTGAGCAGCTTCAGCCTCCCTCTGCCGACGCCCTGCAGCCAGCAGGGATGGCGGTGTCCTACTTCCTCCTCAGAGTGCCCATCGGGAGCCCCCTCCTCCAGGAAGCACTTCTGGATTCGATCGAGGACATGGGGCTGCTCTGAGCCCCTACTGCCTTGACCCTGGCCTCCGACACATTCTACACCCACATTTGTGTCTGTTGCTCCTGCAGGCTAGAAGTGGCAACCTCATGCTCTGGGCACCCAGGGCACCGGGCCGGAAGCCTGGGGACTGGGTACCAGCTGTCTGGAACCCCCTCCACTGGAAGGGGAGAGGGTGCTAGTCTTTGAAGTAACGGTATCTGGTGAAGATACCCTTTCTAGCTGGAGGAGGGAGAACCAGAAAGGGGACAGCTGCAGGGGGTGGGACGGGGTGGGGTGGTGACACCCGGACTTGCAGGGATGCACAGAAAGCTCTTGCATCTGTTCAAGATGCAAGAGAGGGCAGAGAGACAGTGTTGTACCATTAAGTCCACCCAACAGCTGAGAACATTGAGTAAAGTTGCCCGAACCTGCAAAGCTGGTTACAGGGCCTAGAAGCTATGTCTCCTGCCGCCTCTTCTTAATAATGGGACCCCCATTTAAAACAGGCCCAGTGAAAAGCCAACCTCACTGCCATCGAGTTGACGCTGACTCGCAGGCACTGAACAGGGCAGGGCAGAACTGTGCCTGCGGGTCTCTGAGACGGTGACTCTTGATGTTAGGCAGTAGAAAGCCCCAATCTTCTCCCGGGGAGCAGCTAGTGGTTTTGAACTGCTGAGGTTGGCAGCCTAACGTGTAACCACCACACCACTTGGGCTCCTAGAGTTGCCATTTTTATTAAATGCTCCCTGAGGGCCAGGTGATAAGCACTGGGCTGCTAACCACAAGGTGGGTGGTTCAAACCCACCAGCCACTCCCTGGGAGGAAGATGAGGCTGCCTGCTCCCACAAGCCCTGTAGCGTGTCCCTATGAGTCAGAACTGACCGTGGCCATGGGTTCCCAGGGCCGGATGCCCTCGCCACGTGACAGGTATGAGGTTGTGCTCTGTGATGCCTGACTGACAGTGAGAAACGGAGGCTCAGAGCTGTTCAGGGGCCAGCCTCAAACCACCTGGTGGGGGAGGAGGCACTGAGAGGCTTCCCAAACCCCAGTCCTCCAAGCCTCCCCCTCCAGAGCCCCTTTTTCCGGGGGCTGATCATCAGGTCACCAGAAGGCGAACCAGAAACCAAGACCCCCACTCGGCCTTGGGAGAAGGAGGGGGCCCCCCCTCTCCCTAGCCTCTCCCAGCTATTCCATTAGGGAAGCGGGGGTCGGGATCGGAGGCACAAAGCTCGCCATTCAGGTGAGCGGCCACCCGGCCCACAGCTGCTGTGGCTGCGGGGAGATTTATGACCTGCTCTGAATGCCACCTTTTCAACTCCCCATGCTGCCTCCACCACCTTCGGACTCAGCCTGGCCTGGACTACGGGCCGAGGGCGGCTGCAGGCCTGCCGTTGCTGGGCACCACACCTCAGTGCTCCCCCCAGACTTCAGCCCACGGAGGAGCCAGGTACCCCCTACCTGCAGTCAGCAATGAGCTCATCCACCAGCTGAACCACCAGGGAGTCCAGGTCCTCGCTCAAGCACTGCGCCTTCAGGGCCAGGTGGACCTGCTCCAGACTGGCTTCCTGTGAGACAGGCCAGGAGGGCAGGTCACACTTGGGCCTCAGCCCAGCCCCCTGAGTCAGAGAGGAGTCAACAGGGCACACCAACAAGGTAAAACCCAGATCTGCCCTGGTTCCAGAACCTTCCGGGGCTCCTCACATCGGGACACTTCCACACCCTGAAGCCGAGAGTCCGGGCCCCCTCAGGGTCATGGGGAGCTTCAGACTGGGAACGAGGAACTCCAAGAGGAACTGCCTTCACCCAGCTCCCCAAAGGCCGCCTTCCAGACAGGTAAGTCTGAGACACACACACAGGTAAGGGAGCTCATTCCATCTCCCCACCTGGAACACTCTCTTCTGCCCAGACCTTACCACCAGCCAGTGCCCGCCCGGTCCAGTCACCCTTTCTCCAGGGCCACTTAAGTGACTGCCAACCCCAGGCAGCTCCTGCTCCAGAGCTCCACTGTCCCAGGCACAGAGGGCTACACCTGGCCTCCCCTCTGCCGCGTGTCACGTGCGTGTCCGTCCACATCCGTCCACATCCAGCGGCACGGGCCTCCTGCTGAGCAGGGCCCAGGGCTGTCTCTCAGCCCCCACGCCCCTCCCACCCATCAGCCTCCCTGAGCTGGGGACAGGCCCCAGAAGCAGAAAGCACTCCCAAGGACCCTGGCAGGCTGTGAGTTCTGCTGCATCAACTCCATATTGCCCCCCATCTGGCCATTCCCTGGTCTTTCACGGGAGGGGTGAGCCACCAGCCTTTCCACCTAGGCCTGGGCCTGGGTCCCCTCTTGCTCCTCCCCTTCCCCTCCCACCTCTCCTGTTAACCATGTTCACCCTCTCTGGCTACAAACACCTCTCTTCACTTCCCTCCCACTGCTTCAAACCCACCCCGGCTTCCCAACAGCCAGGCCTTTCCCACTGCTCTCTCAACGGACCCCCCAAACCAGGGGCGGACCTGGCACCCTTCTGGGGTCCTCACCCAGGGGGAGCACCTGATGCATGACTGAGCAGCTCTGGGCTCCCTCACTCCCCGTGCTGTGTCCTACGTCAGACAAGTCGTCTGCTCTTTTCCCGAGACCCACCCCTACAGGCCTGGCCAGGCTCAGACACACGGACGTCGATGCGGAGCCTCCAGGGCTGTGTGCACTGGCAGGCGGGCTTGTCTGAAAGCACCCCCACCCCCGCCGCCGCCCAAGATCCTCCACACCGGTCAGCGCTGCCCGTGGGGGGCGTGCCTCCTGGGTCGCTGCAGCTGTGCCCGCTTTCACTCACCAGGCGGTCGGCGATCCTGAGCAGCCAGTTCTGCGTGTCGACCCTGTGGCTGATGTCCTCCCAGTAGGAGGAGAGCACCACCACGGGCTTCACGTTGCCCCACGGTAAGTAGTAGTAGTGGCAGCCTGGTGGGGGGACAGGGGCCTGAGCGGGGGACCAGGGAGCGCAGGGGTGGGACTGCACGGCTTCTAGACACCCTGGGGCTGCAAGGGAGACAGGCAGCCCTCCCCCTCCCAAAGACTCCCCGTGGACACGTGGCAGACATTCTCCCTGGGTGCCTGCGTCCCCTTTCCGCACTGAACAGACAGCTGCGGTCGTTCAGGCTCCTCCGCCCTGGCGACCCAGTGGTCCACACGGAAGGCTTCTAACCACCAGGTGTGCAGTCTGAAAACCCCAGCTGCTCCATAGTGGGGGGTGGGGGAAATGGGCTCCCTGTCCTGGCTACGGAGGCAAATGAATGCATGGCCTCCGAACAGAAGTCATCCTGGAGCACAAGGGGCTGTTTCCCCTGTCCTGCAGGGTCACGGCGAGTCAGCATCGACTCCCTAGGGCAGTGAGTTTTCAAACAGAGTTGCTGGGAGGGACCTTGGGAATCCAAGCACCCGTCCCCCAACCCCCAAGGCCAAACTCCACAGAGGCCACATCATCATGGAACTAAGTCAAACCCCTCGCTGACGGCGGCTGTTTCTGGGGCACAATCTCTGGGCGCTGGCGAGGGGGGAGGAGAGGCAGGGATGGAAGGAAAGTGGCACAAGGAGACAGGGTGGGGCATCCTGGGCCAGGACTTGGGGCTCATCCTCCGCCCGATGTTGGGGACCCCTTGGTGGCTGGGGGCGGCGCCCGGCCTCTGGGCTCACCATCGAAGACAGCCCGGCTGTACTGCGTGGTGGAGACCAGCGGCAGGCAGGTGGCATCGAACTTGTTCCCGTAGTTCCCGATGCTGACCTCGAACTGGACGGCGGCGTCCACATCCTGCAGCATGGAGGCCGAGTAGAAGGCAGCAAACAAGGAGTACTTGCGTCTCCGGAGGTACTTCTGTGAACAGAGGGCAGGCACAGGGTGACGGAGGGACACCCAGCAGCTCCTGGCCCTGACCAGCACCCAGTGACTCCCAGCTGGACAGGCGACGGTCAACGGTCCAAGAAGAAGCATCGTCCAAATCTGGTCCCTAGCCGAGCAAACCCCACTCCTCCAGGTCTGTGCGTGTTTGGACACACTTCCCTCCTACGATCTGCTCCTCCAGGCCCATGCCACTCTGCAATCCAAACCACCAGCCAGGGCACTGCCACGCCCTGGGCCTCCGCTCAGTTCAGAAGGGGCCTGAAACTCCAGCTCACCATCCCCAACCCAGGGTGCATCCCCTCCCCCACCCCCGCCGCCCAGGGTCCTCCACACCGGTCAGCGCTGCCCTCCATAGGGTGCCCACGGCCGTCTGTGTGACTTCATCCCACTGTCCCCAGTGGGCATCGGGTATAGGGCCAGGGATGCAGCAGGCAGCCAGCAAGCTCCCTTCCCCTGAACAAGGGGGGTTTGAAGACTCTCCCCACGGAAGGCAGAGAGGAAGAGGGGTGGGCCCCTAGTCGGCGAGGCAAACCCTTACTGAGTGCTCACAGCACAGCTGAATCTCACAATCCTGAGGAACTGAGCCTCATTCTCGCCCCGCTTCACCATTGGCGCCGAGGGAGAAAGGCCTGGCACTTGGAGACAGAATGGGCAATGGCCTCTGGCTTACAGACGGGAGGCTGATACGTGCAGCCCCGACCCAGCCCCATCGGACTGCAGAGCCTGCGGGTTCAAACCCCTGTGCTGGCTCCACATGGGGGCCCCAGCCCCACCATTCACCACTGGGATGCAGCGGAGCCTCCTGGCCTGTGAAATGGAGTCCAAGCAGGGGGTGCTGTGGGCACTGAGTGTCCTCGGTGAGATCTAACTGCCTCTGGATGCCCCCGGCTCACGGTGGCCCACACATGTCAGCAGCGCTCACCCCACTGGGTTCTCAGTGGCTGGTTTGTGGGGTGAAGGGGAGTCACCAGGTCTTGCTTTGAGTGGACTCAAACCCCCAACCTGTCTATTAGCAACCAAGCTCTTAACAGCTTGTGCTACCCAGGGACTTCTTGCCTGGCATGCGGTGAGAAGGCTGACCAGGTGGTGGCTATGCAGACTATGACGTGGCATCTTACTGTGCATCGAGCTCGATACTTCTAAAATGCTTTCATTTATCTTCTTTGACGCTCTGTGCATCCCCCCTAGGGAGGCAGAGGGTTCGGGCCGGCTCACGTCCGCCTGCCCACAGGGGCACCCTTACCTCCACCCGGAGGATGTCATCTGCAGGGAGGTCCTCCACCTTCTGCTCGCTGTGCTCCACCAACTTGGTCTCCAGAGAAAGCAGGAGCCGGCCGCGGTAGGCCACACCTTCTCCCTGAGAGGAGAGATCTGATTATCAGGTGCAGGAGAATGGAAGGGTGAACCCTAAGGCAGGGAGGGGGGGTTACCCACTCACCTCCCAGGCTCCCAGGAGGCCCCAACACTCTGCAGATGGTGGAACCAGGGCCCAGAGAGTGAGAGCTCAAGGGACACGCCTAGGCCACACAGATGGTCCACAGAGGGAAGAGGCAGCCTGGCCCACGTGGGGCTCAGAGGAGGAGGTCTCGGGAGGCTGCTGCCTGGCCTGGAGTCCAGGCTAGACCCAGATGCTGCCCAGGCTGGGCAAGAAGACCCCACATACAGGCCTGGGGACTTGAAGGGTCTGGGGTCTAGGGTCTGGTTTCTGCCCCTTACCTGGGCCGTGTTTGGCTCCGACTGGCTCACCTTGCCCATGTTGAGCTCCGCGTAGGGGTCTGGGAAGCCTGTGAACTCCCTGGGGCTGCCGTAGAGGTTGACGTAGCAGGGCCCAAAGGTGGGGAGGAAGCCCAGGTGGTCATCCACTGGGAGACACAAGCAGGGATCAGAGGGCCGGCCCAGCGGAGCCCACCACCTCAGGCCTGCATCTTCCCTGTCCCTCCGTTCCTGTGCAGGCACAGATGCAGCCCCCGGGGAACGTGGGAACAGCAAGGAGCCAGCGACGGCCACCCTCCTCACTGTCCACGAGGCCCTACAGTCCTCCTACTGTTCTGAGACGTGTGGGCTTTGGGGACTCTCCTAGCCCCGGCTCACACAGGCAGAACCCGAGGCTCAGAGACCCACAGAAGAAACCCATGGGGCAGTGGTTCTCAACCTTCCTCTTGCCGTGACGTGACCCTTTCACACAGTTCCTCTTGTGGTGACCCCAACCACCACATTATTTTTGTTGCTACTTCATCACTGTCATTTTGCTACTGTGATGCATTGGGTGACCCCTGTGAAAGGGTCGTTCAACTCCCAAAGGGGTCGCGACCCACAAGTTGAAAACCACTGCCATGGGGAGAGTGGCAGGTCCCAAAGCCATCTCGCCTGGAAACCTGCATACTCATCCCCATACAAAGCTAGGGCCTGGCCCCCCATTTCCTGTCCCTCCACACCCCTCCACCCTGCACCTGTACGGTGAGGAGCCATGAAGGAGACTCACCGAGGCCATCTCCCAGGAGCTCAGGGGGAGGACCAGTGCACCCACAGGTAAGCTAGGTGTCCTTCCCCAGGGGGCAGCCCCCAGGCAAACCCCCTCCCCACGGCCCTGCCCCCAGCCCTGCACAGTGGAGACAGAGGGCCCACAGCCCTGAGCAGCCCTGATGCCCTGCAGACCCCTCTCGCAGGCATGGAAACCCTGTTCCCCGCCTCTGCCAAGACCCCCGTGAGTTACTGGCATGCTTTTCCTGCCCAGTTGAGCTCCCCCGTGACAGCACGCAGGAGCCCCCGAAGGAGGCCAGGGTTCCCTTGGACAGTGAGGGTGAAGAGGGTGTTTCCAGCATGTCAAGGTGGGGTGGGGACAGAGAGATGGGGAGACCAGAGGGAGGGGACGCCCACGCCACACAGGATAAATGACCTCTGAAGGTCAGACGTGGGGGTCCCACCCCTGCTGAGACCTGGGGGCAGGTGGGAGCAGGCTGGGAGCAGCCTCTGAGAAATGTGCTATGACACACACCCCCCCAGGGAGGAGCTAGGGCCCCATCACCAGAGCCCCGTGTTCCCAGCACAGACAGGGGCCAGGATGGGGGGCGGGTATGGGGACATGGCTGAGGAGACCCTGCCATGACCCCTAGCCAACTCCACTGTGGTCTGTTATCATGGGAGTCAGTTTTCCTGCACCCTGACCTCCTCCAGGTCACTTGCCCAGCCCTCTCCCCTCACCCCACCCCCACACCTGCCCACCCTTCCCTGTGGACGAGAGGTGTCATCAGGCTGAGAGATAACTGCCCTTACAGTCTTCAGAGCAAGGTACACAAGCAACTGACGTCCAGAGGTAGCAGCCAGAGGGACACGCGTGAATTGTGGGGAGGGGGCTCCCCATCCCAGCTCAGGAGATCACAAAATCCCCACAACAGAAGCCCCAGGCCCACCCCCCGCCAGCCCCCAGGAGAAGACAACGTACGGTCGGTGGCTTGAGGAGGCTTGACCACACCTGGAGGGTCGTCTGAAGCGTAAAGAGATGGAAAGGGGGTTAGGGTGGGCAGCAGGGAGGCGTGCGGTTAGCAGATGGATGGATGGAAACAGATGTGGCCCGGCGAGGCCCTGTCCCAGCCCAGCTGTGAACTGAACCAAATCAAGTCGTCCCAGGCTGGATGACACACCCCAAGTCAGACCCAGCCCTCCCCACCCTAGGGAGCCCCCATCTCTCCCACCTGTGCCCGGGGAGCATTAACGTTGTATTTGTGGGCCCCAAGTCAACTGGGTCCATTGAAGGGGTGACAAGCCACGTTGTGATTTTCTGTTGCTGTCAGATACGTGAGGGGAACCGAGGGCAGGCTCAGGCAAAGGCTCAGAGGACGCCGTCGGCCCAGCTAGACAGAAAACACACACCCCCGCCCCTCCCCCAGCACTAGGACTCAGAAAGCAGCGACGCTGGGGACCAAAGGACCCTGAAAGATGCTGTTTCAAGGAACAACATCTCCATCTAGTGGCGACATTCAGTACTGCTGGGAGAGGCGCCGCGTTGCATTTTCACAGCAGCAAGCCCCAGATTCTGGCTTCTGGCACCTGCCACCTTCAGTGAAGTCAGGGCCAGACCGTGCCCATGAGCATGGTCTGCATGCTTAGTTGTGCCTCCAAATGCTAGTCATGGAGTCTAGAAATAAGAGAAGCCAGGACAGAGACCCTGGACATAGCGCCCTCCCTGCTAGACAGGTGCAAGACACCCCCAAGGAGGGGAGATTGCC